GGTGAGTGTGGTGCTGATGACACCAAGTCAAGGGTTAAGATCCCCTTACCGGTCATCTTTATATAGGGGGAAAAAAATGTGTCCTTTTTCTCAAGAGCATACAGCTGCTCCCATCCCATAATTTTGCATACCCTTTCAAGGAGTTCCTGGCCTGCCAGGTAAGGACTCCTCAAGCAAACTCAACTCTTCATTTTCTAGATGAGAAAACTGAGGTGGTGGAGCCAATGACTCCCCAGAATCTCAGCGTTGCAAGACACTAGCACCTGCCTCTGATTCCGGTCTGCAGTCTCCAGACGTGGGAGGGTATGATTCAGAGAGGGCTGCGGTAGAGTCACCAAGCACAGCTGCCGCTGTAGTAGGGCCGTGAGCTGCAGAAAGGGGCACAAGGGGCTTTGGCCTCCTGGTACTGTCTCTGAAACTTGGACAACCTAGCCTGGCTTCCTGCGAAGCATAGGGAGGGCAGAGGCTGGAAGCACAGCTGCCTTTCTCGCATTCCTCAGCAGGGGCCCCCAGCCTGCCAAGCACTGGGTGGTGGTGGGGTAGGATGCAGGGTGAAGAAGGCTGAAGGGGCCAAAGGGAGTGGCACTAGCATGCCGGGTGGGTTTGCACAGAGGGGCTCACTTTGTCTCTCCCCCACCTCTAGTATCCATCTCTCTGCCTTTTTAGGCCTCCCTGTCTCTGGCTCCCAGCCTTTCCCCTCTGTCTGCGTCTCCCCTAAGCCCAGGTAGCCTTTCTTCCAAGCAGTACATACCCCACACTGAGGTGGGGGTAGGAAGGGCACGTGTGGGTCAGAAACAAAAGAGTCAAATGGTGGGATGGCACCATGAGCAGGTTTCTGGGCCTCCTCTGCCCCAGGACAATGACATTGCTTGTCCAGCCTTGCTCCCACCCCCCAGAGTGGGCACAGAGGAGGGCAGAGGCTGCAATGGGGGCACCAGCTGTTCCAGCCCCTAGGCTGTGAGCATTCTGCCAGTGGTTCAGCCACCCGAAAGGAAAAAGCTGCTGTGCTCAGCAGTGCAGCAAACAGGCTTGGAGGAGGGGGTGCAGACCAGCTGCGGGCTGGTGGCAGACACAAGTAGGTATGCAGAAGACTTGGCTACAAG